GTACTCGTCACCACACCTATACGTCGTACTCACACTAACACGTAGCAATTAAGACCACAACTCCTATTCCCTCAAGCTAAGGTTAGACCAAACACTTACTTCAATTCCACAGATAAAATCAAGCTTCAATTACCGCTTTACCTCTCGGTTCCACTTCCAATCCGCTTGTATCTAGTCATAATTTACTTAATAACATCAATAAATGCTAAATAAACCAATTCTAATGCATGAAAATAGATTTCCCAATATTTTCCCCAAAAAGTAAAAAACCGACCCCGGGCCCGCTTGGTCAAAACCCGAAGTTCGAACCAAAACCCGATCACCCATTCACCCACGAACTCAATATGCAATTAGTTTTGAAATCGGACCTGAATTTGAGGTCCAAATCCCCAAAATTCAAAAATCCTAACTTCTACCCAAAAACACCCAATTTCCCATAGAAAACCCTAGATTTTGAAGTGAAACTATGTAAACAGATGAATGAGATTGAAGAAGATGAATTAGAAATCACTTACTTTTGATTTGGAGAAGTTTGAGTCTTTGAAAAATCGGCTAAGGATGTTTAGGGTTTGGGATAATTGCAAAATAATGAAAATCCCCTCTGAAATCCCACTTACAGGTCGCAGTTATTGCAATTGCGATCAGGGGTTCGCAATTGCGAACCCTAGGAATTTCTGCTCCCTTTGCATTTGCGTCAATTAGGTCGCATTTGCGACTACTGAGACCTTCGCATTTGCGAAGAAAAGCTCGCAAATGCGAACACGGCTGGCTAGGGCATTCATCGCAATTGCGATCAGCCCCCTCGCAATTACCAAGCCCGACAGGCTGGCAATTGTGAAGCTTGACCTCGCAACTGCAAGATCAGAGCCTGCAACAATACCAAATGCAAATCATAAATTTTCTAAGTCCAAAACTCGCTCCATGGCCTATCCAAAACTCACCCGGGCCCTCGGGGCTCCAAACCAAACATGCACGCAAGTCTAAAAATATCATACGGACTTGCTCGTGCAATCGAATCATCAAAATAATATCAACAACTATGAATTTAGCACCAAAATTTATAAAATTCTCAAGAACATTGAAATTTCTATTTTCTCAACTATGGGTCCGATTTATGCCAAATCAACTCCGATTCTTACCAAATTTCACAGATCTGACTTAATTATTATTTTAAACCTGTACCGGGCTCCAGAACCAAAATACGAGCCCGATCCCATCAGGATTACACACTATTTTATTTCTACAAATGCTTATATTTTCCAGCAAATAATTTTCTTTAAAAATTCTTTTCTCGGGCTAGGGACCTTGGAATTCGATTTCGGGCATACGCCCAAGTCTCATATTTTACTACGGGCCCTACGGGACCGTCGGAATACGGGCCCGGGTCCGTTTATCCAAAATATTGATCGAAGTCAACTTAATTCCATTTTAAAGGCAAAACATAGCATTTTTCTCAAATTTTCACATAAGGGCTTTTCGGATATACGCCCGGACTGCGCACGCAAATCAAGGTGAAATAAAAGGAGGTTTTTAATGTCTCGAAACACAGATTTGACTTCTAAAATACGAGATGACCTTTTGGGTCATCACAATTAAAGTGAGAAAAATCAAAATATGTAGTGGGATCCACATAAATTATGGTGGATCCACATAGAGCAAGGTTAAATTTAAAAAAGAAAAAAGGAAAAAACTTAATTTTAAGGGGTTCACGCGCTCAGATGCGATGTAAAGCATACACTTTACCATGTCAGTGAGGGGTTCACGAGGTCGTACTTCAGTTGAAAAAAGTGTCAAATTGATAATGGGGTTCGTTGAGGTGTATATTTGGTCATTGTGGAAAACTTAAACATGCCATTTATTTATTTTGCTTTTTGAATTGATGAAATCTGCACATGAAATCCTTAGATTGTCAATAAATTTCTTCAAGAACTCTGAGGAGGATTTTCTATATTTAAATTTTTTTACTTTGGTATTTGAATATAGAAGATACCAAAAGAAAATAAACTCTTATATATGTTGAAAGATGTTTCAAAAGGCAATTGTATGGAAGTCAAGTTTCTCTTCATTTGAGATGATTTTATGCCTTACTTGAGACGTACTATGAGTTAGCATCCTATATGTGAATTTTTCAGTGTATTAGAATGATACACTAATGATATTGAATCTCTAATTCGGTTGAGAGAAAAAAATGCACTAGTGATTGTGCAATCACCTTTTGCTGTGGTGTTATGGTATTGCAATTGCTTGGCAATGATGTTGATTAAGCAATCTCTTGGCAAGTATTCCGCTACGAATTAAACCGACAATATTTGTGTCGATGAATTGTGATTGCCAAGGCGCAATAGCCATTGTAAGAAAATAAATCTTTCCTTGAAAACAATAAACATATTCTCTTGAGACATAATTTGATAAAGTAATTGCTTAGAGATAATAATATTTTTATATATATTATATGTAGTCAAAAGAGGATTTGATTTATCCTTTGACTTATAAGTGAAATGAGACTTTTTGCCAATTTGAGATATATTAACAATGATGGTAACCCAACCTATGTAATTAAAGATCCCATGAAGGAGGTTCATATGGGTAATAACAAGTCATTAGTTGATCAAGTATGCGTTATTAAATTATGTCCCTTCCTATGATATATGTATATAGTGCAAGATTGCAAGAAATGTGAGCATTTGGACAATTAAAAGCGACTATTTCAAAATAAATGTCGGGAATTGATGTTAAATTTTAATGGTATGTTATGCAACAGACTTGAGGAGCTAAAACTAGTGCAAGCCTAAAAGCAAGTTATGTGGCAACCTCCTTTAAGTGACACCATCAAGGTCAACACAAATGGTAGCTACATAAAAGAAAATGAAAAAGCAGGGATATGAGGCATTATCAGAGACAACAAGGGTGTTAATTATGCCCTTCTCTGTACTTATTTCTTGTGATCGCAACAATATGACTGAGGCAATAACAACAAAGTTTAGAGGAAAATGGTGCAATCGATTTGGACACACTAATTTTGCACTTGAACTACAATCTTTGGTCATCACCAACATGCTTACAAACAGAAAGACTAATAACATGAAGATCAAGATGGTTATAGATAGTACTGTCAACATCATTGAACTTGCTAATGTGACTGTGAAGCACTACTTTAGAAAGGGCAATCAAGTGGTTGACTCCTTATCTAAACGGGCTGCTACAACTAACCGGAGCTTGATCTGTCAAACATATCAACGACTTCCTAAGAATGATAAATACTCTTTTCTCTTAGATTAGGACAAAGTACGAAAAATGCAACTTTTTTGTAAGCGATTTTTTATATATAGAAGTCTCTTTAGTAAGGAGGACATGTAGTATATACCTCTTACTCACTTTTGGGATGATGGAATCACCATTATTGTATTTTTTCTAAGGTCAAGTTAGCTCCTCTTACCGTACTTATTGGAGTACAACAACATCCAAACAATGTCTAGGTAATTTTATTAAAAAATAATTGTGTTTTGTGTTTTTTTCAAGTTTAATTTTTTCTATATATCACGTGTGACTGTGCAAATAATTCTAGCTTATAAATTTGAAATACATTACTCGAGACTCACCATTCAAATGTACACCTATAAAATATCAAGTGAATATCATTTAACTATAATATTTATATATAACTGAGATATTTTTATGTGATACCGTTCTTATACAATTAACTGTGGAGTGGAGAAGATTTTACATTTGAACCGGTGGCATCAGAAGATTGTGACATTACCCTCCTATTAAAGCGAGTGGCTTTTGTCATTGACTTGTGCCATTTCTAACTCATTTCGATCTTACTTGGTTAGTTCTTCTTTTTAAGTCATACATTAGAAGATTATTTTTTGGTAATTAAAGAATTTTATTTAACAATTGTAATATGTAGAGTTCAAAAAAAGAAAATCTAAGCGGCAAGAGCTGGACATGAAGCCCCAACTCTGCAGCAAAGAAGCAATCTATCCACTACTAGCTCCTGAACTACTCACCCTCCTTAGGGATAAAAACTAAGTTCTTTTAGTTTTCTTTACAACTGTGGCATCCTAGCACTCCTGTAGTGAACTTCTTGAATAACTTGTCTTATCAGTGCACTTGCAGGCCTGCTCTTTGCTAAAATAGTCTCAAGTTTCGTTCATGCCAGATACAATACACACCACATGCCGAAGTCATTCGGTAGATAATTGCCATAGTCAATCTACCTTTTCTATTTTTCAGAGCCCAATCAACTTCATCTTTCTATTCCCAGTGACTTTATTAATACCTTATCACTGCAACAACTTATCTCAAATAGCAGCAGAATACTGACAATTGAAGAAGACATGATCTACAAATTCATTCCTATCATTGCATAGAGGACACACCAGGCTATCAACAGAAATTCACTGTGCCACTCTATCCTTTGTAAGTAGCCTTTTATAGATAGCCAGGTATAAAATAAAAGTCCATCTAAGAGCACCGTGATTGTAGCAAATTAGTCTTCTCCATTCAATCTTTGGACAATCTCCCCCGATCTTACATATAACTCCTTAATGGAGAAGCTGTTCGTTTGATACGCATCTTGTCCTAGAATACATTAGAAGATTGCTCGTTTTCTCATAAAGATATTATTATTTCAAACATTGATATAATACTAAAAGAATTATTTACTATTTTGTAATTTCAATTTCAAATTTTTTACTATTTTGCGACTCAATCAAATACTGCCTTAACTTAAAACTCATACATAAAATCAATATAAAGAAAGAGTGATATAGCAAACTATGCAGTGCTTTAATCTAGTCTAGTGCCAAGAGCACAATTCGTAATATTTAAATTTATTATTCATCCTATTTTGTACCGTTCATTGGCCCTCGGATTTCAAGGTTATTAAAAAAGATATTAAAAAAATATAATGGCACAAAAAAAGTAAAAGAAGTATCGAAAAATCAACGGCCGACCGTTGCTGACGTGACTAACGTTGCAAAGACGCTTCCCTCCTAATATTTCTTTTTTCTTTTCTTTTTTACAGTCTCCCCATTTATTAGATCTCAAACATATTTTCATATCTCTCTTTTCCTTTCCTTTCACTCTTCTCCGATCCGGTATGTAAGTGTATATATATATGTATAAATCTTCGTATATATACCTATAAATTTCAATTAATTACATTCAAATTTGATTTTTTTCAGGTTGGAGATATTCCCCCTCATCATTTTTTCCTGAGAAAATTCAAATGGCCGCTCCACCCGCTAGAGCTCGAGCCGATTACGATTACCTAATCAAGCTCCTCTTGATCGGCGACAGCGGTAAGTTTTTTTATTTTTATTTTTAATTTCTGATTTTTAATGTAAATATCGACTATACATTTGATTTATTTGTGTTTTTAGTTTTTTTTCGTTGATTGATTCCAAATTTGAACGCGATTGCATAGGAGATGTTGTAAGAATTTTCCTGGTTTCGCCTCTTCATGCCACTAGGTCAAGAGGTCGAGGCTGGTAGGTTGCCCGAATAGAAAAAATAAAAATCAGTGGTTTCGTAGCCCTGCGATCTCGGCGTAGAACTGTGATGTTAGCTTATTTCGTAGTTCCCGTTCTTTTTTTAATTTCAATAAATGGCTTATTCCTCAGTTATAAGTCATAGTTTTATAGGTAATAACAAAACAATACGAAATGATGCTCGAGAACTTGTGACAACTGACCAGAGAGGAAGGCTCAAATGGAAGCACCTCCACCTCCTACCTTAAGGTAGGGGTTCGAGTCGCTAGGGGACATAATTGTGTCAAAAGTAAAAAAAATATGCTAGAGAACTTTTATAGGTAATAACAATGTGTGTACAATGATGCTAGAGAACTTTTGTTAGTCTAAGAATGTAATGGAGAAATAAACACTTGTAGATTTTTTTCCCATATGCCTAAGGCTTAGTGTGCAGATTTACCTGGTATCTTTGCTGGTGGGAGGTAGCAAGTATTTGCTGGAATAGTCGAAATGCACGCAAGTTAGCCTAGACACTACCATCATGAAACAAAAAAATGTAATGGTGAATTGTTGTTTTAAGGATTTTTATGTTGCTTCCTTGAGACATGAACTCCCTATGTTTCATTTTCTGGGAAGGCATTTGCCTGGGCACAAAGTTTAAAAAAGAAAGAAGGATGTTGGAACTTCCGGTGTTAAACATGCTATGATATTTCTGGATATAAAACCATGTCATTAAGAATATAATGAGAAGTTTAAAGTTCAGCTGTTGCCAAATATAAAATGTGTCATTTTCTTTTTAACAAACTAAAAAGGAAAAATTTTAAAACAAAATAAAGCAATGGGAGTAAAGATAACCTGTCTGTAAATATAAAAATCTGTCATTTTCTTTTAAACAAACTAAAAAGGAAATATCTTAAGACAAGATGGAACGATGGGAGTATTGTTCTTGTGCTTGAAATTGTGCTTCATTTGCTGGTGGGTGTTGCATGTTTCGTGACAAGGAAAGGAAATGCTTAACTCTAACTAGAGTCAATAGTTAATTTGATGCCTATTAGTCGTTTTTGTTATTTTAGTCTTTTTAGAATTTTCTATTTCTTGTTTTCACATTCAACATATACATTTTCTTGTCTGATCATTTTACTATTATCAATTTTATGCATTTGACCAAGGAGGGCCCTCATGGTGGTTCTTTTAGTTTGTTTCTTTTACGATGATAATGAGAAAAATTACAGACAAATACTAGTGGAAAACATAACATCAACCAAATTAATGATCTTTGGGTTATAATTTGATGCTTGAATGAGTTCAAGCCCCCACACCATGCAAAGCAAAGCCTGGTATTTAAGTGGAGAAGGGTAGAGGGGCGGGCCCATTATCCACCGAGTTTCGAAGGCTACGGTTGGTCCAAAGGATCGGCCCCAGACGGATTTCTCGGTCATCAAAAAAAAAAAAAAAAAAATTTGATGCTTGAATGATATTCAGATCATACACTGCCAATGTAGATAGATCCTTGATTGACTAAGAACTCCTGTAAGGAAAATTTACTCTCAATTTTTTAGGTGTAAGTTGATTGGCAGAATGACTCAATTTGGCCAAATGTACCCTATGTATCTTTTGGCTAATGTAGAAACAGAAGAATAGGAGACCTTTCGAAGGAGTGGCGACTTCAATACAGCACATTAAATATACTATTTTATTTCATTTATTTCTTTGGTGTAAAGAGGAAATGGCGCTTTGCATTGAAAGATGGACAAACTTCTGCTGAGGGTCAAATCTAAAGTTGTAAAACACTTATGTATATAAAACACCTTGCTGGTGTACAACACTAGCACTTATTTGATTCATTCATCAAGGGGAAATAAAACAAAAAAAGATCTAGCCGTGGTTGTTGGAATCTTCATCATTCTTTAGTCAACTAGCTTGTAGTTCAAATTATTAACTAGAAAAATTGCACTATCTTACCTCATCTAAGTAGAAATGTATTTTCAACTTTGGAGTCCAACTTTGGTCCATTTGAGCTCTTCAAAAAAAACTATGGTCCATCTGACCAGCTTATACAAGCAATCCCTGGACCTGCTTACGTGTGCATTTATATAACTCAGCTCATACCTGTCAGAAACCATACTGATTTGTAGCTGCTTGATTGATAAGCACCATTTTAATAATGCACTTCTTAGGAGATCAATCTATTTACTGCTTGACCAAACTGATAATTAACTTCTAAAGTTCAGCGAAAGCTTCGGAAATTTGTAATCAGGTTAACCTGCAAGGTGGCCACTGCCTCTGACCTGCTCATGTCCCTGGGAGAGGGGGGTAAGGGACGAGGAGAATGGAAGACTCATGCATGGTTACTATTCTGAAAGATGCTGACAATAAAATACCTTCAGGATTAGTTACAGACTGGATATGAATCTGTGAAATTTCGGACAAGTAGTAGCATCTACAAATTCGCTTGTAGACTGTAGTAAAATTACTGAAAACAGAATGTTCGTGTCAATCATTCTGCTAGCATGCCTAGCAGTTTGAAGATGGACACATCTACAAAGTTGGGATTCCACGAGAAATCTTCAGTACTATTCGTTAAGTTGGTGGTGTGGTTCCAAATTATTAGTAAATGCTGGAGATTATTAGGGCGCCTAGTTCCTTAAAAGGTTTCATTCTCTCTTTTGGTGCTTTCTGCTGGGATTGTTCTGCTTTCACTTTTCTAATATTCCCGCAGTTCATGGTCGATCAAGAGCATTGCTATGCCATCCTATATATCAGTTATAGTAACAACAACAACATACCCAGTATATTCCCATATTCCCATACTTGGGGTCTGGGGAGGGTAGTGTGTACGCAGACCTTACCCCTATCTAGTGAAGGTAGAGAGGCTGTTTCCAATAGACCCTCGACTCAGAAAAGTAAGGAGGAGAGGAAGAAGAATAAGAAAAAGAAGCAGAAGGAGAGAAGGAAGAAGAAAAGAACAAAGAGAGGGGAGAAAAGGAGGGGGGGGGGGGGGAGAGAACAGAGTAAGTAGCACCAAAATAGTACGATAACTGAAACAAACTAAACCACATGATGTAATATAAATTTGAGAGATAGGAAAGTACATGCGTGCTACTAGTACTACCGGTAAGAAAGGGGAAAACTCTCAACTACCTACTAACCTTCTACCTAATCCTCTACCTCCACACCCTCCTTTCAAGGGTCATGTCCCTTCATTCCTAATCTTATCCCTCCTGGTACACCCACACATTCATCTCAACATTCTCATTTCTGCTACTTTCATCTTCTACACATTGGAGCTCTTGACTGGTCAACACTCCACCCCATATAGCAGGGTAGGTCGAACATATCAGTTATAGTATATCTCTATCAATGTTGAATTGTTGACTGCCAAGTGATACTGAAGTTCAATAGCTGCTTATAATTCTTCTTCTTCTTCTTTCCTTTTTTTTTTATTTGATAACTGTTGAACTTTGTTAGTTCTTATGAATCTGGATATAATAACTTCTGTTTGAATTTTCAGGTGTGGGTAAGAGTTGCCTTCTTTTACGTTTCTCAGATGGCTCCTTCACGACCAGTTTTATTACAACTATTGGGTAATCGTCTCCTAACTCTTAAGGACACTGTAATCGTTGTCGTCATTATTATATTATATCATCATCATCTTCTTCTTCTTCCTTCTTTTTGTTTTTCTTTAAGCACTCAACTCAAAGGTAATCAAGACTTATGAACACAAGGAACTTGATAAGAAAATGAAGTTCTATCGAAAAGTAGCACGCAACCTTTTAACTTGAATGTACATTATGAAAATATGAACAAAATACTACTGCTACTGCTACTACTACCACACCACCACCACTATTGTTATTGTTGCTATTATGCTCTTTTGGTTTTTCTGTTAGCACTTGTAACTCAAAGGTGATCAAGTTATACAAACTTAAATTGATTGAAATGGAGAAAAGGTGGTGAATACTTGAGAAGAAGGCAAGGTTTCTCATTTTATCAAATAAGCAGGCATGGTTTCTTATACTTACCAACTAAATGAAAAAAAAGTTTATTTATGGTGAAGTACATAACCTCTTACGTAGAAAATGTTAATATGAAATTTACATAACTTCTTGAGTATAAATGTGGATTATGGAAGTTGAATATGTGGTATTTGTTTACGATTTAGTGAAAACATGGATGAACTCTTACAAGAACAAATGATTAGTTATTTACCTACATATTTATTTTTAGGCAAACTTAATCTGATGCAAAGTTTTCTTACACAGCATTGACTTCAAGATAAGGACCATAGAGCTTGATAGCAAACGAATCAAACTACAAATCTGGGATACTGCTGGTCAGGAGCGGTTCCGAACAATTACAACTGGTAAGCTCGCGGGTGAAATGAGCTGTGTATCATTTTGTCTTGTTATCTTGTCATTTATTTTTCTTTTGGGGCAAACACATATACCAAGTCAAAACTCTGTTCTGCTGCATTAATATATCAACTTCACGTTTTAGTTATTCTCCTGTCCTTGCAGCTTACTACCGTGGAGCCATGGGTATATTGCTGGTGTATGACGTAACTGATGAGTCATCTTTTAACAGTAAGTTCCCAAAATACATTGCAGTAAAGGAATCTCTACATTTTTTGTTATATCAATTTAGAAGGGGTTGCTTTAACTTTATAGATGACTGTTCTTCTCCTTAAAGACACTAAGGGGTTGGCATACTGGTAAGGGTCTAGCTGCCATGTTGGAGGTCTTGACAGGGAATTTCCTTCCTCCAATCCCTTCCAATCAGGGATTTGCCAGAAAAACTATATTTGTTCCCTGTGGCTTGTACTCTCTCCATGATATTCTCCCTCCCTTATCATGGAGCAATTGAATAAAGCAGAGCCTTTAAGATTGTTGATAAACTATTCATTCTTCTATTTGTCAGAATTTCGCTAAATTAGAATGATGTGAACTTCTTTTGATCAGCGCTAAAACTAACTTTGTGCACATGTTTAGACATCAGGAACTGGATAAGAAACATTGAGCAGCATGCTTCCGACAATGTCAACAAAATTCTGGTCGGCAACAAGGCTGACATGGACGAAAGCAAAAGGGTTCTCTCTCTCTCTCTCTCCAATCATCATCTGATCTATGTATGTTGTTGCATACATGCTATTTATTGCTGCTATGTGACTGAGTTCATGTAAACCTTTTCTGCAGGCTGTTCCTACATCAAAAGGTCAAGCACTAGCTGACGAATATGGCATTAAATTCTTTGAGACAGTAAGTAGAACTTCTTGCCGGCATTCCATTTGCAACAGCAATTCTCCTCATATTGTACTGATATTTCGTGCAGAGTGCCAAGACAAATATGAATGTGGAAGAGGTTTTCTTTTCCATAGCTCGGGATATAAAACAAAGACTTGCTGAATCTGACTCAAAGGCTGAGGTATTATCTACTAAGTTCATTAGAAGTGGTGCATATTGTGTGCTGGCTGACAAGTTTGACTGCTAAAAATCTAATGAGAAGGATAGACCATTGATATTTCTATGATTAACTTTTGACAAGACAGAGCTTGAGGGTGAAATGTGGGGGTCCTTGAAACGACAAGAGAGGATTTTTCTTACTAAAAAACTACCCAAAAATTAGAAGTTTTTTAATAAGAAATGACTTCCCTTTCAGTTTCCTATATATGCTTGCATGATTCAGTCTTCATGTTGCATTCCTTTTGCACTTCAAATCTTTGATTTAGTTGTCAGATCCTGAAAAAAAGCTTTTCGGGTATCCATTCTAATCCCTATTTCCAAAGGAAGAAGAAAGGTCGAAAACTCTCTCTCGAGAGCCTCATTTGTTGAGCTGGTCCAGGGTTCAAACTAGGAATTACTTCCAGGGTTCAAACTAGGAATTACTATTTTATCTGATGCAACTAGCTGTATTCCCTGACCTGAGGGCGGAACCGTCTTATCTTAGGGTAGGAAAGGGTAGGGTAGGCCCAAGGTGTGAGCCGTTAATAATCATTAAGTAGCGTGTGGCCGTCCCGTACTCTTCAATAGACTTGAAATAGCGATTTTTAAAAGCAAACTTAGCTCTAATATTCCCTCACATGTGAACCTCAGCACAATGATCTCTTCCATTTCCCAAACATGGAATATTGACCATACTGACTCCTGCATTCCTGAATTTTTGCAGCCTCAGACTATCAGGATAAATCAACCAGACCAGGCAGCAGGAGCTGCTCAAAGCGCCCAAAAATCAGCTTGCTGTGGCTCTTGAAATATTGACAGCAACAACGACAGGATGATGGGGAATACATCCTTAAAGTTACCATTTTAGTGGGAAGGGTGGAACTAATCTTTGTTATAACATTCTCACCATCGATCGTATTTTTCTCTTTACAGTTATTTTCTTCAATATCTATTTGTATTGGGTGGCAGCTCTTAGTATTGCAAAAATCAGTATATGCTCACTACTTTTTGGCTTAATATAAATGAAGGGACACTCTGCCTTCTCATGTTTCTTGTTCAAACTTTTGGGCTTTGGTTGGGCATTTGCTTCTTTTTTATTCGTCATTCATTTCATCGTAAACATAAAGTTTGAAAATAAAAGACGCAGGAATAGGGCTGCATTTGATGTGCCCTATAAGCCAGATTCAACAAGTTACCAGATGAGTAATTACTACTACTTGATACGATATGACGATATCATCAAATTTAGTGTTTCTTCTGTATGTGATTGCCAAGCTGTCCCTATGGTTGATTTCTTGTTTTAGTCCTTTAATAAAAGGGCAGCCCGGTGCACTAAGCTCTCGCTATGCGCGGGGTTTGGGGAAGGGTCGGACCACAAGGGTCGATTGTACAAGAGGTTGTTTCCACGGCTTGAACCCGTGACCTCCTGGTCACATGGTAGCAATTTTACCAGTTACGCCCAAGGCTTCCTGTAACGACCCGGCCGGTCGTTTCATGAGTTATAGCCCCGTTTCCCCCATTTCTGCTTCTTTATGTGTTCTTTAGCTGTATTTCATCGTATCGTGTTGGTTGGTTCGGGTTCGGAGTGGTTTCGGTGTGGAATGAGACACTTAGTCTCCTATTTAGAAGTTTAAGTTGGAAAAGTCAATCGGATGTTGACTTATGTGTAAACGATCTCGGATGTGAATTTTGATGGTTCAGTTAGCTCCGTTAGGTGATTTTGGACTTGGGAGCGCGCCCGGAATGTGATTTGGAGGTCCGTGGTAGAATTAGGCTTGAATTGGCGAAATTGGAAATTTGGCGATTCTCGGTTGGCAGTGGAAATTTTGATATCGGGAAATTGGAGTAGGTCCGTAGTATCATTTGTGACGTGTGTGCCAAATTTCAGGTCATTCGGACGAGGTTTGATAGGTTTCGGCATTATTTGCGTAATTCGGAAGTTTAGAAGTTCTTACGCTTGAATCCGAGGGTGATTGATATTTTGATATTGTTTGGAGTGTTCCGAAGGTTCGACTAAGTTTGTAAATTGATATGTGACTTGTTGGTATTTTTGGTTGGGGTTCCGAGAGTCTCGGGATGATTTTGGATGGCTATCGGAGAGTTTGGAAATTTGGTTATGCAGATGAAGCTGCTGATTCTGTCTTAATCGCACATGCGGAGTGGGAAGCGCAGGTGTGAGGTCCGCAGAAGCGGTCATTAGGCGCAGGTGTGCAGCTGGGGTCGCAGGTGCGGCTTGGTCCCCGCATCTGCGATGACCGCAGATGCGGTCAGGCAACCACAGAAGCGGAAATGGCCTTTTAATGAAATTCCGCAGAAGCGAAGAAGTTTGCGCAGATGCGGAAAGGGGACTGCAGATGCGGAAGTGCTGGGCAGAATGTATAAAAGGGAGGCTTCGCGAATTTTGGGTTATCTTCCACCATTTTTATCCGGATTTAGAGCTTTTGGGAGCAATTTGAAGAGGGGTTAAAGGGGGTTTTCATTGAGGTGAGTAATTTGAGCCCTAATACTCGTGTTTATGGTAATTTCCCGTGGTTTTATCATGTAATTAGTGGTGATTAAGGGTGAAAATGAGGGGTTAGGGCTTGGGATTTTGGAGAGTTTTGATTGAGGATTTGAGGGGTCAAATGAAGTCGGATTTTGTTATATCTTGTATGTATGGACTCGTGAGTGAAGGGACTTTCTAGTTTTGTGATTTTGTCGGATTCCGAATGTGGGCCCGGGGGAGGAGGGGTGGGTTGGGTGAATTTCGGGATTTTCGTCTAAATTGATAGTTTTTGTGTGGGATTGATTCCTTGGCCTATATTGATTGCATTGTATTGCTTTTAGTTAGATTCGGGACGTTTGGAGGCCGATTCCAGAGGCAAGGGCGTAGCGGAGTAGGATTTGGCTTGGTTTGAGGTAAGTAACGCTTCCAAACTTGGTTATGAGGGTTTGAAACCCCGAACTATGTGCTAACCTTGGTTATGAGGGTTTGAAACCCCGCACATATCCAAGTGACGGGCGTGCGGGCGTGCACCGTGAGAATCTTTGCCCGGTTCATTCTATGGCACCGCTTGGTGACTCTTTCTTGCTGATATCCTTGTTTCTATCATGTGATTAAGTAAATGTGCAGCAAATCATGCTAGCTATCCTGTTAGGGCATCACGCCGATACAGTTGAGACCCGAGTGGTCGTTTCTTGCTGTCATTTAATTAGATTCATTGATATTCTGTACTTAGTCTTATTCATGCATATCATATCATGTCTCAGTCTCGATTGTTATTATTTGGCACATCATATCATTGGTTCGGGCTAGTTTTATGGCATTGTGAGCCCGTGTGTGTGAGACTGGAGAGTGATGACTGAGTGAGGCCGAGAGCCTGGTTATGAGTGACAGTTAAGGGATCAGGCTGCACGCCGCAGCAGTTATGTTGATGATTATGATAGCGCTTGGGCTGTAGGAGCCCCTCTGGAATCTGTAACACACCCCCAGTGAGCGCGGATGATATTTGAGGGATGGATTTCCCTGGACATGGATTTGTCCGAAGTATTGACAAATGGAGATGGATTTCTCCTCAGGGTTGGATTACCCTTTTCCTCGGTATCGAGTGACTTATAGTCAGCGATGAGTATGTTCCGGGATGGATTTCCCAGGGCCGGATGGCCATATGCGGTACCGAGTGGTTGAGTGTGTATATACATATACCTGGAGATGGATTTCTCCTCAGGGTTGGATTACCCTTGTTCCTCGGTACCGGTTGACTTGCAGTCAGTGTTGTATATGTTCCGGGATGGATTTCCTTGGGCCGGATGACCATATGCAGTACCAAGCGATTAAGCACTTGAGAGTGGAAACACATGATGCATTTCATACATCCTGTGCATTGGCATGTAAAGTTAGCTGAGTTTTATATAACACATTGTTCAGAGTGTATTTATTTTACTGCCTGTGCTGTATTCTTGAATTGATAGCATGCTTACTTTTCGTTCACCGTTTATTTCTATTGCTTGTTGAGGTTACGTTCGTCACTACCTTACTAAGTTGGTATACTTACGTTACCCTCTGCACCGTGCAGATCCAGGTATCTCAGGCCACGGTAGCGGCTGTTGACTATTCCAGTCGCGGACTTTCATCGGAGATAGCGAGGTAGCTGCCTGGCGATCGAAGTCCTGCCTTTCTCCTTCTTTATCTTCCTTTTAGTATACTTTGGCTATTTTCAGACTATTTTAGTCTTGTTATATTTCAGAACAGTTGTAGTATTTGCTCATGACTGGTGACACCCGAGGTCGGGCTTTTATTTCCGCATTTTGGTTTTGAAATTTATCTCTTTTATGGAATTTCAGTATGAAAAAGAGTTATTATCTAGCTTTTAAATGAAATATCGAATTATTTGGGAATGTGTCGGCTGGCCTAGTTCTATGATAGGCGCCATCACGACCGGGTTGGTTTTGGATCGTGACAAGTTGGTATCAGAGCCTAGGTTACATAGGTCTCATGAGTCATGATTAGGTTTAGTAGAGTCTTGCGGATCGGTACGGAGACGTCTGTACTTATCTTCGAGATGCTGGAGAACCTTTAGGAAAACTTCACATTCTTGAATTCTTGTCGTGCGAATCTGTTGATTCTGGTAACTAAACTTCTGTTATTCTATTCTCTCACAGATGGTGAGGACACGTGCTACCGGTCAGGACTGACGGCCACCAGTACCACCAGTTGGGGCCACTAGAGGCCAAGGTCGCGGTTGAGGCCGTGGTAGGGGCGGGGGTGTAGCCTGCACAACAGCTAGGGCAGCACCTGCAGATCCACCAACCGCCCCAGTTTATGATCAGGTCCCAGTTGTGGATGCTCCAGCAGGGCCAGCCCAGGCACCGGTTGTGCCTATTGTTATTCCAGGTCTTCAGGACACCTTAGCTCAGATTTTGACTGTGTGCACCAGTCTTGCTCAGGCGGTCATCGTTTCTGCTACAGCAGCTACTTCCCAGGCCGGGGGAGGCACTCAAACTCATGCCGCCCGTACACCCGAGCAGGTTGTTCAGGGATTACAGACACCGGAGGCACCACCAGCCCAACCGGTTGCACCTGCTCAGGATTATGTGGTACCAGTGATGCCTGATGACGAGTAGCGTAGATTGGAGAGGTTTGGTAGACTTGAGCCTCCGACTTTCTGTGGTGCAGAGGGCAAGGATGCCCAGGGTTTCTTGGACAAGTGTCAGAGGATTCTTCGTATAGCAGGTATTCTGGAGACCAGTGGGGTCTCGTTCACTACCTTTCAGTTCTCTGGAGCTGCCTTTACTTAGTGGGAGGCTTCTGAGAGGCGTAATGTTGGTGTAGTGCCCCTTACTTGGCAGCAGTTCTCCGTTCTCTTTCTGGAGAAGTATGTGCGTAGTCTCGCAGAGAGGAGCTGCGCAGACAGTTTGAGCAATTATGTTAGGATGATATGACCGTAACGCAGTATGAGATGAGGTTTTATGAGTTAGCCCGTCATGCTGTTTGGTTGGTTCCAACAGACAGGGAGAAGATCAGGAGGTTCGTGGATGGCCTCGCTTATAAGCTACGTATTCTTATGACCAGAGAGAGAATGCCCGGTGCTTCTTTTGAGGAGGTAGTTGACATTTCCAGAGAGATAGAGTCGGTTCGCCGCCAGGAGCGAGTTGAGAGGGAGGCCAAGAGGCCTCGGGGATCTGGTAGTTTTGGTGGTGTTCCTCCTAGAGGTCAGTTTCAGCACGACAGAGGCTGTCCATTCAGACATGCTCAGTCAGCTCGTCCGGGTCACCGTGGTGGATCATCTGGCCATGGTTCTCACAGTTCACATCAGGGCCACTCATCTCTCAGTGCCCTTCCAACTTAGAGTTTGACTCATGCACCATCAGTTCAGGGTTCATCTATGCTTAGTTCTTCTAGTGGGTATCCCGGTGCTCGGGGCTCCCTTCAGTCCCCATTACCAGTGGCCGGTAGAGGTTGCTTTGAGTGTGGAGATTTGGGCCATATCAATAGGTTCTGTCCCCACTTTATGGGAGGTTTGTCCCAGTAGAGGAGTCAGCCTTCGGCTTCAGTAACAGTTACTTCCCCACCCGCCCAGCC